TATACTACATGTATGTTGATACATAATATGTATGCTTGATTGTTATTTTATTGTTTACTTTTTTCTATTTAAACATGAACTTGTTAAGAATACCTCGTTATAAATAGATTTTTATTTTTTAAGTTGTTTGTCTTTGGGTTTTTTGTGCTTTTTCCCGATGTTTTTGTTAACATTTGTGTTGAAAACTTTTATAATTTCATGTATAAGTGTGTGGTTGGTGGGTGCTCTGGTGTGGTTTGCTCCATCTTTCCTATCAAACATCTATCATCCTTATCTTTCTTCTTTTTTGTGTTTCTAACTCCTTTGTAACATTTTTACTCTAATCTTCAGCACTTATATGCTCTAATTGTGCTGCAAGTGCCCGTAAAAAAAATTATTATTTAAACCCCCCCAAAAAACCGACCTCATAATCAGGAAACTACATTTCTTTCGTCATTTGGTCGGGATACTTCATGTTTACATGCGAGACTTCTGATGAGGGAATGATAAGGCTCATTGTGTATAATTTCCCCAATGAGTTTTTCTAGCATCAAGACTGTCAGAAAGTCGAAATTATTGAACTAGTGCAGGCAGAAGAGGTTAAATACAGGTACTGTCTAACCTGCCCAGACAACCACTTGTACACTGTACATTTCCTGTCTTGTGTGTGTTTGTCTATAATAATATATATAAATATGTACATAATATATGTATATGATGTTCGTCCTCCGCTGGCGAAGATGACCTTGACTTCACGTCACTGGAGGAATGGGGGTGTGTGCGGAGATTGCTGATCAGGCTGATCTTCGCTCGATGTCTGTTTCAGTGGGGGCAGGGGATGTTTGGGGCTAAAGTAGACTGGACGGAAGGGCTCTCTCGGTCTTTTCTCAGCTGCCGTCTCCATTCTTTATTTCTGATGCTTCTTTCTTCGAGCGTGGCGACTCCCGATCTTACTAAGAAGCGCCAAACTGTGCGATTGCGAGCAGCTTCTTCACAGGTGGTATAAGGAATGTCACAACTCTTCAGGGATGCTTTCAGAGCATCTTTGAAGCGTTATTTTTTTTCTGTCCGCCGAGAGACCGTTTCCCTAGAGTCAGCTCACCAGAGTAACCTCTTTGGGAGGAGAGAGTCGTCCTTACGGTGAACGTGGCCGGCCCACCGGAGCTGAAAGCGCAGTAGGATAGCGCGAATGCTCTCTATCTTGGCCCGCTGTAGCGCCTCAGATATGTATTATTATAATGATTAATTATATATTTTATCAAGCTGCCGCACGTTTTTAATTACGGAAACATGTCTGACGCGGAAAGGGAAGAGAAATTCCTTCCCTTCCTGGAGGGG